CATATTGAACTAATTCTTCAGAAAACGACGTGACCACAAATATAATGTTCAAAATACATGTGACCTTGTTATACCTCAAAAATTGAAAATATTTTAACGCCATTTTGCAGAAAAGGATTGTAGTGTATTGCTAAATAATGATACAATTAATTATTAAAGATAAAAAAAATATTTCAATTATATTGCAATTTATTTTGGGATCCACGTTGACCTACTCCTCTATTGGTATTTTCTGATTCAGTATTGGTATGTGACACTTAATGAAGAAAAATCTATAATTGATTTTATGAAAGAGTTGCGGGAGGCAACGGTGTAGCAACACTGTAGCACTACCGAACTCCAGCAGGTTCAGGTCTTTGCACTCGCATTTGAGAAGAATGTTACCTTTCTTCCCCTTCTTGCCCTTTCCCTTTCCACCCTTGCCGTCCTTTCCGCCTTTGCCGTCCTTGCCGCCTTTGCCGCCTTTGCCGCCCTTGCCGCTGCCGTCGTCGCTGCGCGAGCCGCGCTTGCGGCCCTTGTCGCCGAGCAGCGCCCCGAAGGCTGTCAGCCCTCCAAGGCCCCCGAACCCGTCCACTCCCCCTGGCAACAGCAGTCGCTTGTCACTGTTGATTCGCCATTCCGCGACTGTTCTTGTAGTTTAAGTTTTCCAGCGAGCGTGTGCGGGCCTCAATTTGCACGGGTTTTCTCTAATTTCTAACAGTGAGTATCTGGAAAACATTTACATTAATACATTCGTATACATTAACAGGAATGCTCTTAGAAAAGTTCAATCAACATGATTGTATTTTAAATACAATGAAATACACGAATAGATTAATTGTGTTGGGCAAATATAAGACAGTTGATAAAAATGCTACCTCTCAATTTTAATTAATATCAGATCGGTCTTACAAAAGCTTTAGGTTATAATTTATCGTTCTTTCGTATATGTATTTTAATATTAAACAGATGTAATTGCGTTTTCGAATTATAAAGTAAATCAATATGTTTGTGTTTTCGAACGCACTAGTTTACTAATATGAATTATATAAAATTCTGAATTTCACATTAGAGTACGTTATGTAGGTTTTATTAATATGTATTTCTATAACTTATTATTTCTGTATGAAATCATTCTAATATTGCAGGGTGGTTTTAAACTAAAAAAAAACCACGAAGTTGAAAGCAATACATTTATCCCACTAAATTTTATGTATGAATTTTGAATTTTTACCGTTGTGTAAAATTATGCACAGGAACAGAGCAGTAAGTTAAGATACTGACATTCGCTATATGGGTAACTGGAAATTGTTTCCTTCACTGCTGTATTTTAAATATTGCATATTCATTAAATACACATTAAATCCATAATTATTTATTAAAATTTGGCGTCATCTTAATTGGTATTTAGTCTTGTTTTGAAATTACTAAAGAAAGCATCATAGAAGTAATATGCATATGAAGTTTTATGAGAAACAAAAATAAAGAACTTTTATCCGCGCTTTGAGGAATATTTGTGGACAATTTTGAAGTGAGAGAGAAATAAAAACTAGCGAAGATTAAAACATTCCTATATTTTTTTCTGTATTGAATTTTTAAACGATTTCGTACTTTCGTCACTTAGAGCGCTATGAGGGCAATTGACAACGGTGTAAGATAGTACATTTGGGCTGGAAATTTAGTTTATGTGCGAGTAGCGGCTAAGGCATTATTATTTCGCCTCCATGTAAGATGGCTCGCCAAATATGTTTCTTCCATGTGAAACTGTACACGATATTGAGAGGGGGTTTTCTCTAAAAAGAATATATGCGAGTGGTACATAAGCAGTTGCATAATGTTTTTCTTGCACAGATAACCCAAACATATTGATTTATTTAAACCATAATTATTATTATTATCAAGCTCCGAGTTCACAAATATAAAATATAGCGCTAATTGCAATTACATTTTTTTTTAGAAACAGAGCTTTTACGATATACGCCATCTGTATATCGTCACAACTAAACATAACGAAATACAATGGCATAGCACCGTGTGTCTCTTCTTCAATTTCCTCACAGGGGTGGCTAAAAATAAGACAAGTGTGATCGTAAAACTACATTTATAAAACTAGTGGTGCTACATCAGCGCACACTTTTTCACATTATTGCTCACTTTTACTAGTTTCGAAAAGCAATGTGCATATTTATAAACTATCCCGCTTCGAAAAAACTCGTTATTTCGTTATATAAATATAATTTACAACGTTACATTTAAAAAATCGAAATTGTATTCCTCTATTTCTAATAAAAATGCTAAACAGCACAGCTTCTTATGTGCCCATCGCCTTCAATCATTTTAGTGAAAACAGTTACATGCAAAGGAAAGATTACGGTTTTGTAGTATTTATATGAAATCATAGAAACGAAACCCTGGAAGTGTTCGATAAGCAGTTGCCTGCCAGTGCTGCATCAAACAGATTAAGACAAAAAACTCTGATAATGATATAAAGGAAACAGCTAGTTCCCATGCAACCTGCAACACACGTTACTATTATGTGTTACTCTGAAGTTATGCGTCTTGGGCCCTTTAAACCAGATTTTCGTACCTTACCGCAAGTTATTTTTCTTAAGACAAACTATTCAAAAGAAATTGACTTTCTACAAATTCCAAAGTTTTACGAATTCTCGTATTAGATTTTTGGATTGTACCCTCTCCGCAGTGTGGTTCTCGAAACAGTGTAGCAATGTGAAGCCATTTTAACGTTTAAACATTGATTTAAAAAGTGCGGTATTCGCATGGGTCAACGAGCACGACGTAATTTTCCATTATTCGGCCTTTGCAGCATTTTTGCGTTGCACGCGACTAATCCGTGGATGATTAGAAGGCGAGGCGTGTGGGCGTGTTGCAGGCATCCGAGAGACAAGATGGCGGACGAGGTGGCGGACGGGGGCCCCGCGGTGGCCGTGGCGCGGTCGGTGCCTCCCTCGCGCCGCGCCGCTCGCGCGCAGGTGGGTGCCACTCAACGCCTCTTTGCTTTGGTTTTGCAAGGGCGCTTTTCGTACTACTAAGGTCATACATCAACCATTAGTAACATAGGGGAATCGGTAATGGTATACGGGTACATTCTAATATCCATGTCTCGGGGGGGTTTCGAACTCCCGTGGCAGCTACTGCTCTTCAGCCTTAGCGACCTCGGCTATCCAGGCCGGGTTTTGTTATCCTATTAACCACCACACACACACACACACACATATATATATATATTACATAGGATTCCTATTCACCTCAGATCGGGCGGAAAAGAACAGCAACTATCAAGATATACACGAAACAAGGGAAAACAGATCTAAGGAAAAATGACGCTTTTTCATACTGTATCTATTTTGTGTACAATCAAATTCGATTTCTTGTTAAAGAATTGAGATATCTACAAAGACTATTTGACAAGACTGCTTGTGTAAATTTTAATTGAAAAGAGAAATTATTATTTTTTTATCATTCACCAACATCCTGTACATGTAAATCCGTTTCTTTGAAAGAAAACTGACCAAACTAATGAGGTTTATTTTACAACCAGGATTCGGAACGAATCCATTTATAATTAGCACTGATTGTTACTGAGACATCGATTCCGGAATTCAACAAGAAACCCGCCTTGACGAATTGGGGAGGCGAAGGTGCCTACACGATTCACAATTAGCAGGGACGGAACCTGCTGCCCTCGCGAGGAACGTTTGGGCACAATCCTAACACCAATTCTCCGAGCGTTTTGCCCCCAGGACAAAGGAGTGTTTATTAAACAGACAACACACAGTAAACCGTATGGTTAAAATGCCCCATTGCAAACGAATTCTACTACAAACACAAGAAAACAATCTGTGCAAGAGCCGGTGTAGTTATCACCAGATGTCCATTATCTCGCAATGTGCATAATTAAAAACGCATGAGTTATCAGGCGGTTTTAATTATAGGAGTTAATTCACACACTGGAAGTTAATCCAAGCACTGTCAAATTACAACTCCGATTACGACACAACAGTCGCAATAATTTTCGGTATATCTCTGACGTGCTCTCTCGCACGGCAATTACAAGGTTCCGGAGGGACGCGGCTCGAGACACTCTAGATACACCGTTTTCAGGATTGAATTCTAGCTGCTGGCTTCTCTGATCCAGGGTTTCTCCTGTCAACACAAGGGGAATGCCTGGGCAGTACCGTAACAAACGGGCCACAGACCGTGCGCGCGATCTTTCCTTTTTTTTCATTCTCCTATTATCACCTCTTTGTTACACACACACACACACACACACACACACACACAGACACACACTTTCATGCACAACACTACCGCACATGTCGAGAGACTAGACCGGAGCTTAGAGCTTATCCCGGCTGGGGTGGTGTCACGCTGCTGGGAGATACGTGGTTAGGGAAAATTCCCGCAAGACCACGTCTAGGTCGGCGCCTGATCTGACCATCCAGCGGGGGAAGAACCACCCAACCTTCCGGAATAACGCTTGCACGCTTACGAGACGAATAACAACAGCTGACTGACAACTTGACACGTCCGAAAACACGAATCAATGCATATAACGATGACGAGGGGGCTTCGTGCGCAGGGCGCGGATGCGGCGCGGCTGCTGCGCTCGGGCGTGCTGGTGCGCACGTGCGAGTGCAACAAGCGCAACGGACTGAGCGACTGCCGCTGCGGCGGGCCAATGGCGCAACGAAGCGCAGCGACGACCCGCCCGCCGCCAGGGCCCCACTCGCCTCGTGTCCAGGCGCCCGTCAGCCGCCGCCGCCGCCGCGGTCGCCCCCGACGTCCACTTGCCGGCCAACGGCCCAGCGCAACTAGAGGCATACGAGGACAGCAGGACAACGCGCAACACACACACACTCGGCGTGGACCCCGCGCGCCTCCCGCCCGCCGGCATGCCCACGCCCGGCGCCAACACCTCCCCGCTCGCCGCCGCGCCCGCGCAGCCAGCGGCCGCCCTCCAGCCGCCCCTGCAGCCCCTGCAGCCGCAGCAGCAGCAACAGATGCAGCAGCAACAGATGCAGCAGCAGATGCAGCAGCAGCAGATGCAACAGCAGCAGCAGATGCAGCAGCAGCAGGCCGCGGTCCCGTGCGACGTGGGCGACCCTGCCGCTGCACCCTGCCCCGCGGACTTTCAGGCCCCGCCTCCCACACCCGGCGGCACACCCGCCACGGAAGCTGCGGCCCCACCCCAGCACCAGCACGTGGAGGCGGTAAGACAAGCCCAGCGTATAATCACTTTGTTGTTTTCTGCATCCATGCTTATCAAACAGTTCGCAGAAATCTTGAACGGCTGTAACAAATTCTAAAAATACAAAGAAGACTGTAGTGTAGTCCGCGATTATTGATAACTTCGAGAGTCCGTACGTTAATCTCATCTCTGAATCTACAAGTAGAGGCCATTGCGAACGCTGGCATATTCGAATGCTCACCTCATTATTTTCGATTCACAAAGAGAAAGTTACTAGGAGAAGGGGATGTGAAATACGACTGAACGTCACCTAAACCTTCTATGTTCATTCCTTAAATCCCTATCTCCAATCATTCCTTTTCGAATGCTGATTGCAACGCCACTGACGCGAAATTTCACCACAGAATTATACGTGTTCCCAGGTGTACAACGCGCAGCCCGTTCCGGAAGCTCACTACTTTGAACATCAACCGTACGTGCCACCGGAACAGATGCAAGCGCAGATGCCAAGTCAGATGCAAACGCAGATGGCGGGCCACATGGCGGCGCCGGTGCAAGGGCAGCTGTCTATGCAAGGGCAGATGCCTGCGCAAGGGCAAGCCCCGATGGGGGGACAGATGGCAGAACAGGCGCCGGCGCAGATGCAGGGCCAGATGGCTGCGCCCGTGCACGGCCACATGCCCGCTCAAATGCAAGGCCAGGTGGCGGCACAGATGCAGGGCCAAGCAACCATGCCGATGCAAGGCCAGCTACCGATGCACAAGCAACCACCCATAGCTCCGCAGACGCCGCAGCAGATACAGGCTCAGCTGGTCGAGCCGGAGGCGGCGGCGGCGGAGTCGGCGGCGGCTGCGGCCGACGCGCTTCGGCCATGCGGCTACGCGGCGTCAGGTGCCCCGGCACCGCCGCCCCGTAGCCCTGCCCGCACGCCGCGCACGCCGCGGGCATCGTCCCGCACGGTGCCCCACGCCCCGCACCCCCCGCGAGCGCCACGGCGCGTACCGGTAGGTCGGCGCGCGGCGCGCCAGCAATGTGCCCGCTACTGGGGCAGCTGCGCTACCGGCCACCTGGCGGCGCGCCGCCTTGCCCCACGGCATGCACATTGCCCACTCGCACCGCGCACCCGCAGCCCACGCGCAACGGCCGGCCCCATAGGGCCCGCGCGCCGTTCGGCGCACTTCATCACGGTGCCCCCCGGCGGCGGCCCGGCCCCCGAAGCCCGCCCCCTGCCCCCGCACGCGCCCAGCCCGCAGGAGCTGTACATGCAGCAGATGCAGCAGCACCTGCAGATTGCCCTAGGGCCAGCAGGCCCGTGCACGCGCGTGCGGCCGGCTCCATGCCGCCCACCCGCCAGATGCGCCACCCAGGGGCCCGGCAGTGCCCCGCGGGTGGCGCAGCCAGCCAGCAAGCCGCCCCCGCACAGGCCGCACCCCGCCATCGCCGCCCCACGTCCGCGCACGTGCCGCACGCGGGCGCACGTGCCTCTACATCGGATGACAGCCGCCCTACGTCGCGTCGCCCGTACTAGTCCCCCCCGGCCCCGCCCCCGCCGCCGCCCCTCGCGCCCTCAAATCGCCCAGTGCCCGCGGCCCGCCACGCCCCGCGCCCACACACTCGCCGCCGCATCGCTCGCTGGCTATTTATTCATTATTTATGCTTTTTTTTATTTCTTCACGATATTGTGAATAAACCTTGACAACAAAGGAGCAGTCGTTTTAATTGTAGAATTGCAACAAAACTGTAAATTTGTTACACAGCAAACCCAGGTGTAATGCAAAGAGCAATGCCGATGTTACGGTGACAATATTTGCATCAAATGTACCAATGATCATACAAGTTTAGCATTTAGCAGTTTTAACACACTATGGAGGAAACTAAAACAAGTCAAGGAATATTTTTCATTTGTTGGAATTTTTAGCATGACTTTTCAGAACATTAAAGTAGTGCGCCTATACCTATTGTAGACATTTTATTTTTCGAGTAGAAAGGTTGTGTCAAGGGGCATGTTGTCATCATATAAATTGTCACACTTGCATTTTCTACCATGATATAAAACTTAGAATTCTTCGTACTGCTACGCTTGAATGGAAAGTCTTTTCTTAAAACATCTAAAAACGACGCATTTGTTTATATTTTGTGGGTGAAGTACGTTTTGTGCGGTATTGATTTTTTGCCTCAGTCTATAGGTCTTGCAAAAAAAAGCTCAATCTCGATTGTGTAAAAAAAATCAATTCGCACATTTAATATCAAAATAACTATTATACTTCACATCGCGTTCCGACACATACGCTAATGCAGGTGGAAAAATATCTCTAGAACATAACGCAGGAATTCTCTTCGCAGACCTTCCAAGACCAGCCGATTATGTGGATTACTATTTCTATTATATTTATTGAAATAAACAGTTTTAATGTGGATGAACTTGTAATGAAAATGTCTTAAATAAAATTTCCCATATAATTCTATTTCTGACAAATATTCATTACAAATTCACCTATTTGCTGTTGAATAAGCGGTTAGTAAATCTCGTTCGTTTTCTTATAAAAAAATATGTTTTCTGGCATATAATATATTTTATATTATTTTAACATTATTAGAATATAATATTGTCATTTCCTTATCGAACCGCCAGTGACATTTCCGCTCTCAAATTTCGTCGCAGCCCTGCGCAGCTGTAATTTTTGACCGTCCCGTCAGAGCAAGTGTAAGAATTTGCACATGCGGGCAAACTCGTGCCTGCACCTGTCCTATTGAAATAATGCAGAGACCTCTGTAGATTAGGAAATTGTGTAAAAACTATGCTGATTTTAATTTCCTGATAAATTTATTTGTGAATGTCTTAAGATGATGGATTTGGGGGGTGAGATGAACCATATTAGGGAAGCATAAACAAGAATTGGGCGAATGCTGGTTTTATATAAGATGACGAACATTGTTAGTAGAGAAGGGAAACCGCATTACGAAGGCGATAGAGATAAATTTAGTTTTTCTTTCGCTTTTCATCGATTGGATTTTCGTGAGTCGACGAACGTGTTCTAATACAAGATACTGCAAGTGACCACAAAATGAAGGCACCCAGAAGAGCCCATACCCCAAAATGGTAGAATACCAAAAAAGCTTCTCAGTTGTGTAGAAAACGGCCGGGAGAAACATAATTCGAAAAGCAAGTTTAAAGAGACTGCGACGCATCATTTTTGAGCTATAAACGATCGATGTCAACAAATACATCGCTAGCCCACGTGATGCAGTATTGCATTTACGCCTGCCTGATAGATGCATTTGTTTCACCAAATTCTTAAACTGTCTAATGCGAAAGTGCAATTCACCCCCTCTACGTGAAATTCCATCGTCTCCTCATCATGGTATGGATGTGCCGCGCGTTGCAGGATTGCATTCATGCCCACCTGATCCACAAGCATTGGTTTCATCAAATCCTTAGTATTTCTAAAGTGAAAGTGCAATTCGCTCCATCTATGTGAAATTACGTGTCCTGGGACATCTGGCTTGCTAAGTGTACGCACGCATCATGACCATGTCGCATGTTGATGGATTTACGCCTATCACATCCAGACGCGTTTGTTTCAGCAAATCCTTAATATTTGGTGAAATTTCGTCACATCGGACCTGTCGATTGCTAAGAGTAAGCACGCATAATGTCCCGGAAGTGCCACGTGTTGCAGGATTAATAACTAGCTGATCCAAACGCGTGTGATTCACCAACTCCTTCATATTTCTAAAGCGAACGTGTAAGTCCGTCGCCTGGGACCCCTCGAGCGCCGAGAGTACGCACGCATCATGGCCTGGATGTGCGCGCAGACGTCGGGCGCGCAGGGCGGGCGCTCGGCGGAGGACTCGCGCGGGCGCAGGAAGCGGCGCGCCGCCATGGCGCCCGGGGCCACGCCGCACGGGCAGGGCGGCAGGCGCCGCGCCACGCGCCCGGCCCGGCCCCGCGCCCCAGCGACAGCGACGGCGGCGCACGCGGCGCAGGGCAGCGGGGGCGAGGCCGACGGTCGTCCCGCCGCCGCCGCCGCCTCGCGCCCCCGGCCGGGAGGTCACGCGCGCGCACGGCCGGCGGCGTACGGGCCTTGCACGCGGCGCTCACGTCACTCATACGAGGAAGCCTCAACACTTCCTTACACAGTTTAAACTCGACACCGGGCAACCAGAAAATGGAAAGTGAATGAAATTTTTAGGAAGCAGATTCAGTGCTCGCAGTTTCATTCATTCAAATGTTTAATTCCACTGGTAAACGTACTCTCCAATTGTGGCGATTCCAATGTGTAATTTTTTCTACCGCCGTTATCCAACCGACAGGCCGGTTTTCTTTGCGTCCCCGTCGGGACGGCTCGTTGGGACGCATGACATTACACGCCAAGTACACTTGCTTGGCCTTTTCTGAATTCTGGGGTCTGCCAGAAAAAACGTGGCGCCTCCGGACCCGGCGGAACAAAACACAGTATCATGAGAAGACCAAGGGGGGCAAAAAAAAACAAACACCATTTTGCCCAAAGGGCGGGACCTTCAGAGACCCGAGGGGGGGGGGGGGGGGGGAATAAACCATTTTCTCCTGGAATAGTTGGGATTTGGTGGTATTGAATTT